TTAACAGGATCGCATAGCACTATCAGGGCCCGGCAGGATGGTAAAGCAAAGGCAGATATTATTTCTTTCCGCGTGCATCCGGTAAATACGCTCCAAGGATGCAAATTACCGAAAAGCCATTTCGCCGGACCCTGAAGTACAGGTGTAGGGAAGAGATGTGTGTCTTCCAGAGAGGCAGTGGCGGAGCTTAGTGCTGTTGTCAATGACTGTTTACCGGAGACTTTGTCTGCTGCAATATTTCCTAGTGACATAGAATTCGCCGCTGAAGCATTGGACGTCTTTTCTGGGAGAAATACACAGAGGTCTTTTGAAGGGGCGTTAAAGAATGACGGCTGTTCTTCATGCTGCATGCTGCCAAGGAATTTCGCAACGCTGGGTGCCACCACCATTGTCAACTGTTGGCCCAAAGGTTCACAGTTTGCTCCAGATTCATAAAGCGAGGGAAATGGAACGTGAAGCAACGCCGGGTCAAGAATAAAGGCGAAGCACTCGGCCTCATCATTGAAGCAGCGAGCCATTCGGAGTGAGTCCCGAACAGGGGTCCAAAGATCCGCATACAGGTCCTGCAGGCCTTGCTGCAGTTCCTCGTTCATGACTGCGTGCCCGGCAATTGGACCCGGTAGAACCGGTGATATATCCACAGAGCCCGCGCGACTTCTTCGTGTGAGGGAACCAATGGAGGAAGCAATGACTGAGAGACGTTTTTCCTTACGTTCCACAGGTGCATGTGACAAAGACTCGGCAAGTGCCGAAGACGCCGTTTCTCGTGTTGAGGGTTGTGAAACGTGCCTCTTATTGTAAAATTCCTTCAGCGAATATGCCTGCACAAGCCGTCTAAGAAAAAAGGAACGTCCGGCCGGGCGAACAATGGCAACATATTGTGTGGCGAACTCTGCGAAGTAAAATACAAACGTGCATCGCGGAAACGCCAAGAGTGCAAGGTCGACCGCGTCCGCAGGATTGCGTGGAACCAGGCGCTGACGCATCACTAGGGGCATGAGCGACAGCTGTGCCGCTCTTTCTATGGCTTCTAGTGCCCGAGTAAAACAGGCCGTCCGTACCCTTGTACAAGGACGCGGTGAAAGCTCCTGCGCGCCGTATAAAGCATCCCATTGAACCGGCTCAGGTAGCGCCGCAATTTCACCTTCCAGATTTAGTGAGCGTCTTCCGGCCAAGACTTTAGAAACTGACGACGTCGAAGACCACCGGGGTGGCGTCGTTGAGGCCGCCGTGACCGGTGGTGGCTTTTTACTGGTACTCTCAAAAGAAACTGCAGGGTCATCCTTCCCATCCTTTTGTGCCGGAGCCAATTTCTTGCCGCTGCCTGTGGTGGGGGCAGGGCCGTTGTCAGGAATGGCCGCGGCGTCTCCATCGCGGAAAGAATTACTTGACAACATCTCTCCATCGTCACCGCCGTTGAAACAAACATCGTTGTCATCTTCCTCTTCACGCACGGTGTCTGTGCCGCCGCCACCGCCTGCATGAGCCAACTCCTGCAATTTCCTTAGGCGTTTTTCATCTCCTCGCATAAGAACATTAAGATCTCCACTCACAGTTAGTACCTGAAACTCATTGGCATCATGAACGCTCCCAGTTCTGCCATTGCCACCAGAGGGGGAGGTCCCATGGGTAGGCGTGCTGCCGGAATGACGACCCGCCTTCTCCACAAGCGGTACTTCCTCGTCGTTCAAATAAAAATTATGCACAAGCCAACGTGCGGAGTCTAACGCCGCATTGCAGTCCTCCCGGCTTACACTTGAGGCTTCTGAAAAGGCTGAAAGCACAATCTCATGATTTCGTTTCGCCTTAAAGAACTGATGGGATGTGGCGTAGGCAATTGCGAGAACGGCATTGGCGTGTCCCACTTCAACCCAATTCCGCAGCTGCCGTGCCTCGCTTTCCCAAATCATGAGCACTTTAATCGCCTCTTGTACCTCTCCATCCCCAAGAAGGGCACGGGCCCGCATACGAAACAATGTTCCTTTCCACTCGCTACACTTGTACTGCACCTTCTCTAGCTCGTCAAGAGCATTAATACATTCCTTGTACTGACCAAGCTGCAGGTGAGCATCGGCCAAGGCCTCCAACGCAAAACGTTTATCCGCAGCCGCGTCCACGCCCTCCGCGGCAGACGCCAAAGTGTCCAACTCCTTTGCTGTGGTGAGCACATCCATATAAATGCCCTTCGCACGTTGTGCAGCAATGATGTTGCGCGTGGTTTCACGACTTATCTCCTGATCCTCGTACTCTTTTGCGAGCTCACTCACCTTTGCCCACTGCTCTTCCGCTTCACAAGTGTCTCCTGTTGCTGTGTACAGTCTGGCAAGCCGGATACGTGCGTTGTACAACAACAACGCATCGCCCACCTCTGAGGCGCATTCCAAAACCTGATGATTATAGTGGATGGCGGTCTTGGGCTTGTTTAATGCGGAGTACACTTCAGCCAGCTTTGAAAATACTACTGACTCTCCTAAACCGCAGTTATTCCGTTCCCGTTCCTTCCCGGCATCCATAAAGGATGATCTAGTACTACTAATATCATTGTTATTGCTTTCCCCTTCCCTATCAGCGTACATCGCAAGGGCGTTTGAGTACTCTTGTAGTGCATTCTCCCAATTACCCAGCATGGACCAGGCATCACCGCAAGTGATAGTAATAATCGGCCGCAATGCATTTGCCTTTTGCGAAATGTCAGTAAGAAGTCTCCTATTTGCGAAGAGCATCGACTGGGATTCTCCTTCCGAGGAATTTCCGCTATTCTGATCGTTGGAAAGAAGTGCACTTGCCCAATTTTTCACCTGGTCCAAAAACTCCCGTGCGCGTGCCGTTTCGCGAGACGCACGTGCGCCGTCAAACTTACTTAGGCACTGTGTATGAACTTCATATACGTTGAACTTCAATTGGAGTGTTTGCACACGCTCCTCCAGTTCACGAGCCGGAATGGGCCGTGTGGGGTCCGGCAGCGCGTCGGACCACAGAGGTGGGCGAACAGAGGCCGAGTTGACCTTATCCTCAATAAGTGGCTCCAGTAGCAGCGCGGCCTTCTTCGGTTGTCCGAGACGCAACAGGGCCTTTGCCGCCACAACAAGAGATGAGGTGACATCGAACATTGTGCCACTGGAAGGGGGCTTCGCCTTCAGTATACAGCGCTGCAATACGTTTTGCGCTGCGTACGCGCTGTTCACCGCATTACTAAGCTGCTGACGGCGACACCGGACGTTCACCTCGTGCTCCGCCTGCAAGACATACGCAAGGGCGAGGTTGCGTTCGCTTTCCGCCTCACAGCGAAAAAGTTTCAGCTCACGCTCCTTCAAAATTAAAATCTCTAAATCCGCTGCCTCCGTAACAGAAACATCGGGGCCCATGACCACTTCTTTTGTTTTTCTTGTTGCTGCTGCCTCTGCTTCTGCTGCGGCTGCCTGGGACGTACCTTTCGCGTACTCAACGGCTTGTTTGAAGACCAGCACAGCACTGCCGTATTCCTTCTCCACCTCAAGCTGTTCACCCCGTTCCTTCAATGCCGCATAGATTTCTTCATTTCGTCTGGAACGGCGGCAATGCCTGACACATTCCAAATACTGATTAAAGTATTTAGAAGTGTTGATAGAGTCATACATGCGATAGTACGCGCGCCAGATGGCCCGAAGGTGGAAGAGCCTTGCGCTGTAAACGCCATGTCGAACAGCAGCGTAGCGCACCAAGTACGTTCCAGTTGCTGGATAGGAATCAACAAACGCCTGTTCACAAAGGTCAGCCTGTTGAAGTGCAAGCTGGACCGTTTCAATAATAGACGTGTCCATACGGGACACCTCCTGAGCCTGTACCAGAAGCATCATCGAGGTCAAATAGTTTAAACCACAATTGCGGCCATTCGACCCAAATGACCATTTTTTCTTCGCATTGAAAAAGTGAGCATGTGCGGACTTGAGAGCCTCAGGATAATTCCCAGTGGCAATGCGTAGCTTCACAAGGGACTCACGGGCTCCTTGTCTGCATGAAAAGAAGCAGCTCGTAATGGATAATTCATCTTCGCTATTCACGCAACATTCTGCCTCTTCAAGGCGTGGCGGGGAGGTGCTCAAACATTGCTCCACACGCAAATGCAAAACAACTGCCGATAAGATCTGCGTCATAAACAGCAAAAAATCATCATCAAACATCGCATGCCGGGCTTCAGCTATTGACAAGCCGGTTTGTGACATGCCTCCATTTATGGATTGCGCGGATAACGAGCGAAAGGAGTGAATTTCGTCATCAATTCCAGTTGTTGGTCTCTCTGGGGTGCAGTGCGACATGTGTGTGACCATACGTTGTTCCTCCAGCAGGGCGTCACCAGCATCCGCAGCAGCCCCCGTCGCAGAGAAAGCACTGGCGTTGCCACCATACGCATCCACAGAGGTGCACTGAGACCCAAAGACCCCGGCAGCGACGGTGTGAACCTCCTTGCCTGTCTCTGTCCCTAAAGCTAGTTCATTCATTTCATCCCATGTTTTTTGAATTAGCCGGAAAAATTGCTGTCGTTTTTCCTCACTCCAGTAAGGAGAGCAAACGGCATAGGTTGCCATCGTATGGCAATGAAAAAGATCAAGAGAGGGTGAGGATAAATCCTGATGTTCCGCCTTCGGGAACATTGAAGTAGACGACTGCTCTTCAAGATATGCTGCCCACGTCTTGACAACGTTTTGTTCATACACTTTTTCCACCTCCTCCAGAATATCGTCCATGGAAACAGTGTTATCACTGCTTTCCATGAGGAGAACGGTGTATTGAGACAACGAAGGGCCCTGAGGCGATTTATTCGTAGAGGCCGCGTCCAATGAACCATGCGGTTTGCTTTCCAAGACGCTACCAAAACTACACTGCGGTTTTTGTAGGATACACTGGACGAGTTCATGACCGGTTGCATCACGCAATATCCAGAGTGCTATGGCAACTTCAGCAGCCTTCCGTTGAGTCCCTCCCAAGAAATTCGTGAGCTCCTCTATGACTTCTTCCCACTGTACGGGAACACCATATGTCGTCTGCCTCGCCGTCTGGGGTGGTGGAAACTCGGATGTCGAGACCCCGAAGGAACATTCCTGCCCCAGCTGTTGAGACAAGATGTAGCGCATAATGGTCCATGTGATGAGGGAATTTACAAAAACCATCCTTTCCTCAGCTTTTCGAAAATCATTAAACCTGGCGTCGTTGCTGGCTTCTCCGACTGATTTGGAACTCGGGAGCGGCGTCGCTCTTTTGGAAGGGGCTGCTTGTTGAAGAGCTGAAATAGTTGGGCTTTCCCTACCGTCTATCGTGGGACTTCTTGAAGAGACACCATGGGGGATTGAAGGTGCCTTTCCAGGCGATGAAGGAGGGGACTGAAACGGCGTTATGAATGAATAGGGCATCCGAGAGCGCATCATCGCATCTGTGTAGATCGCATGGTCAGTCTCAATGAGAAGATTCACAAGTCGACACAACAGCCACCGCCACTCTTCTTGTGTAATGATTCTCGTACTATGACGAGCGTCTGGCAACTCGGGGGATGGTTCGTGCGCCTCACCGACCGCCGCTTGCCCATTGGGGCAATCCACTGCTGTCGCCTGGACATTTTCTGCGTCTCCCTTCTTGTCACAGTTGCCATTCGTCCCTGCCACCTCTTCTGGTATTGCTAACAGGCAAAGGTCGAGCGCGGCAACTAAGTCCTCCCGCTCCTGCCTCAGTACATGCATGTTCTCTTTCACAGGATTACAAGTACGGTTTGAAGGTAAACTGAGGGATGAGACTGCTGTTGCGGCACATGTCGCTCTGTAACACGCGGGATCCTGCTCGAGGTTCAAAGGGGATAAGGCCAAACCATTTCTCTCAAAGGATTCCAAAATTTGAAAAATATAATGTAGCGCGGCCTGCTTGTTTTCAAAGGGCCCTATGCCACGTTGTTCCTGTGGTTGTTGCTGCTGCTGCTGCTGCTGCTGCGATGAAACACTGTGCACGGAGCTGGAATTACCGTGTGCACCGCCCCCGGCACCCTTCTTTCCCCCTTTCCTCCAGAATCTTGTGAATGTCCTGAAGTTCATCGACAATAAACACCACCCGCACACACTCACAAGAACAACAAAAACAAAAACTAATCAAACGATGCAGTTTCCAGGCCTATGCCAACTTTCGCCCAAAAAAAAAACGAAAAAGAAAAGAAAAAAAAGGTATTGGAGCTTTGCTCTCCTCCACCACCTCCCTTTTTCTCGTTTGTTCCTTTCGTGTTTCCCACTTGTGTGCGTGTGTGTGTGTGTGTTCTTTGGCGATGATCGTTGCCAACAGCTGCCGCCACGAGATTGCACGGATGAGAGCACCGGAGCCGGGAAACAGGAGGAAGATGGGGGTGCACCAATGGTGTGTGCCGCAGGACGGTGTATGGGGGAAGAAACAGAGCCGGCGAGTGGGCCACTAGGAGGAACCCAGCACCCGCGTACAAACTTGATTTCTTCTCACTCTTAAAATCCGACTCCCCTCCCCACACACAGGCCGAGAGAACAAGTAAGAATCTCTCTCACCCCTTTCTGCTCCTGTCAGACCTCCTCCACCTCTTCTCTTATTCAATTTCCTTCCTCTTTTTCCGTGTATATGTGTTGGGGTGTTGCCGCCCCTCAAATTCTCCCTTCCTTCTTCACCACCGGTCCCTTGTATGTACGTATTTATCTATATTTCTTTGTGCACTCCCTTCCTACAATGACCTAAACTAAAAAAAATGCAAAAGAAAAAAAAAAAAAAAAATAAGGAGGGGGTAAAGACATGCGAAACCCTGCTCACACCCTCTCCCCTCCAAAAAAAAAAAAAAAAAACAACAAAAATATGCAGTAGCGAAGCAAAGATACCAGCACGCAAGACCATTCGGCATCAATAAGCGCAGTGGCCCTATTGGTATTCAAAGTAGGGAACAGTCTAGAAGGAAAAAAAAACAGAAACAACAACAACAAAACAATAAAACAACGGTACACAAAAACGCACACAAATAAAAACAAATTTTTTTTTGATGTTATTGTATATATTTTCTTATTTGCTCAACCCTTCGTACGGTCCTTCCTCAAGGTTGGGCCACGCCCACAGCAACTAACACCAACACCGACACCAGCAGTATTGCCCAGCCAGCGCGGGGAGCTATTTTGCCGCCTCTGAGCGCCGCTGCCACACTTCCCATGGCCTCACTTCATGCGCTTCACGTGCCACATGATCGAGATAAACAATGGTGCCGTGATACACAACCTTCTCCCAGCCGGGGGGCAGTGGCTCTCCATCGTTGGGGCACATCGCGGCGTAGAGTGCCTCCTCTGACATTCCGTCCACGCACTGCACCACGGGTGCTCCCAGCTCCGCGAAGGGCATACGGTTCTCTGTTCTTGGGCGAATACTGCGCCCATCAAAATTCTCGGGGGAACGCTCCCGGTGCGCCGGAAATCCACGCCGAGACATTCACACGCGCAGGCAGAGGGCACAAGAAGAGAGACCCGACAATCACCGGTAGGCACTATTCCAACACCTACACTTCCTTCACGCCATGAATAGCCGCCACAGGCAAAAACAAAAACAACAACAACAACAAAAAGCAAGAGGGAAGAAAAGAAAGAAAGACAAAAAACACACACACACGCATACACAAAATAAATAAAGAACTAAATACATAAGAAAAGCCCTTGGGAGGAAAATTCCTACTCCCTGTTCCCCTCACAAGAGCAGCAGCAAAAATTCCGCAACTCAACAACACAATAAAACGGACAGAATGAATTCTCATTTAATACACACACACACACAGAGAGAGAGACAGAGAGGGGGGAAAGAGCATACATCATAATAATTCACGGAATCATGACCCAATTTAGTTTTGGAATGCAAATACAAGTACTATTTTCTCAATACACTCTGCAAAAAAAAAAAAAACAACGTTTTATAAAACCACTTACTATCGCAGAACAGCGTCGTAAACAAAAACAAAATGGGGGAAAAACATCTCCCCCGCCCTTCCAGTTAACAGCAGGAGATCGACCAAAAATAATTACCCCCCGTTTCATATTTCACTCACACACAAACAAAAAAAAAAAAAAAAAAGAGCACTACGTGTAATGCAATATTAAGATCAACAAGGACAAGAACACAATAGCGGCCGTGTCCTTCAAACCATACAATAACACTAATACTAAAAGAAACGACATAAAAAAAAACTCCCCTTCACGCATTTCCATTTACCTTCCAAAAATGTTACTCTTCACTGTGGCACTGTTCGTTCAGGAGGGGCAGGGTTCGCGCTGTTCTCACGATGGAGCCTAAGTGCATGCTCCCGGCCATACTCGGAGATCACCTCAGACTTCCCACAGTACGACACCTGCAGGGGCTTCTCGCGCTCCATGTTGTAGCGGTTGTGCAGAGCCATGATAGCACAATCGGCCTCCTCCGTCGATCCGTACTCCACAAATGCACTTCCCTTGCTGCGGTTGGTTGTCCTGTCGCGAAGTATATTCACGTGGAGCACCTTTCCGTAGAAGTCAAAAAGGGCGCAGACGTCTTCCTCGGTTGCATCAAAGTTCAGCTGCCCCACAAACAGACGTGCCTGTCCCAGCACCATGGAATGCAAGAAAGCAGACACACGAATGCCTCTTGTAACCGCTCTGCGTCACCCACTCTGCCCTAAACACTGCGCAAGAAAAAAAAAAAAAAACAAAAGGGCAAACAGAGCATCCAGCGGCGTATGCATGTGAAGAGAAACAAAAAAGTTAAGACACCTGAAGCAATATTGCCGCTCTGCCTCTCGTCGAGAAAAAAGAAGGAACGCACAGGCTCATGGGTCGCACTGCGGGAGGCAGAGAGAAAGAGGGGTGGCGATCAGAGAAACGACAGTTCATGTAAGGCGTGTGTGTGCTTCACGATGTTTTGTCAGTGGCAGCGAAAATATGAATCCTCATCACTCCGCCGTGGTGTCATTATTTTTTGCCCTGCGGCGCTGTTGCCTTGCCTACACCTCCACAGAAAAACACACGCAAAAAAAAGAAAAAGATGTCAGAGAAACCAAAATAATTAAATACCATGGGGAAAGCAATACAGTCGGAATTAACTCTCAAAAAGCAACATGATAAATGATACGTTACAGATATATACTTATATATATATAACCCAGACACCGATCCTTCACGCATTTCCATTTACTTTCCAAAAATGTTACTCTTCACTGTGGCACTGTTCGTTCAGGAGGGGCAGGGTTCGCGCTGTTCTCACGATGGAGCCTAAGTGCATGCTCCCGGCCATACTCGGAGATGACCTCAGACTTCCCACAGTACGACACCTGCAGGGGCTTCTCGCGCTCCATGTTGTAGCGGTTGTGCAGAGCCATGATAGCACAATCGGCCTCCTCCGTCGATCCGTACTCCACAAATGCACTTCCCTTGCTGCGGTTGGTTGTCCTGTCGCGAAGTATATTCACGTGGAGCACCTTTCCGTAGAAGTCAAAAAGGGCGCAGACGTCTTCCTCGGTTGCATCAAAGTTCAGCTGCCCCACAAACAGACGTGCCTGTCCCAGCACCATGGAATGCAAGAAAGCAGACACACGAATGCCTCTTGTAACCGCTCTGCGTCACCCACTCTGCCCTAAACACTGCGCAAGAAAAAAAAAAACAAAAGGGCAAACAGAGCATCCAGCGGCGTATGCATGTGAAGAGAAACAAAAAAGTTAAGACACCTGAAGCAATTTTGCCGCTCTGCCTCTCGTCGAGAAAAAAGAAGGAACGCACAGGCTCATGGGTCGCACTGCGGGAGGCAGAGAGAAAGAGGGGTGGCGATCAGAGAAACGACAGTTCATGTAAGGCGTGTGTGTACTTCACGATGTTTTTTTGTCAGTGGCAGCGAAAATATGAATCCTCATCACTCCGCCGTGGTGTCATTATTTTCTGCCCTGCGGCGCTGTTGCCTTGCCTACACCTCCACAGAAAAACACACGCAAAAAAAGAAAAAAGATGTCAGAGAAACCAAAATAATTAAATACCATGGGGAAAGCAATACAGTCGGAATTAACTCTCAAAAAGCAAGATGATAAATGATACGTTATAGATATATACTTATATATATATATATATATATAACCCAGACACCGATCCTTCACGCATTTCCATTTACTTTCCAAAAATGTTACTTTTCACTGTGGCACTGTTCGTTCAGGAGGGGCAGGGTTCGCGCTGTTCTCACGATGGAGCCTAAGTGCATGCTCCCGGCCATACTCGGAGATGACCTCAGACTTCCCACAGTACGACACCTGCAGGGGCTTCTCGCGCTCCATGTTGTAGCGGTTGTGCAGAGCCATGATAGCACAATCGGCCTCCTCCGTCGATCCGTACTCCACAAATGCACTTCCCTTGCTGCGGTTGGTTGTCCTGTCGCGAAGTATATTCACGTGGAGCACCTTTCCGTAGAAGTCAAAAAGGGCGCAGACGTCTTCCTCGGTTGCATCAAAGTTCAGCTGCCCCACAAACAGACGTGCCTGTCCCAGCACCATGGAATGCAGGAAAGCAGACACACGAATACCTCTTGTAACCGCTCTGCGTCACCCACTCTGCCCCAAACACTGCACAAGAAAAAAAAACAAAAAACAAAA